TATTTTTAGTAGAGACAGGGTCTTGCTCTTGCTCAGGCTGGTCTTGAACTCCTGAACTCAAGCAATCCACCAGCCTTGGCTTCCCAGGGAGCTAAGATTACAGGTATGAGCCATCATGCCTGGCCCATGGAGTCCAAATTCTTATTTCTGTAAGGAAAATCTGTTTAGTCTAGCTTAGGACAAATATCTATCCTAGGTCTAGTGACATATCACTAGGAGTCAAGCCATTACAGTAACAAAGGTGGGTGTTGGGTGCCAGGAGTGTAGTTCTCAGAAAAAGAGTTGCAAGCTTAGAAAGCTCTGCACTTTTACACAGAGTTAGGATCATGTTGCTTTCTTCTGTTTGCATTTTTAGACACAATGAAAGGCAAGAATCCGATTATGTTTTTTATAATGATAGACATTTACACAGAACTGTTTACTGAGTTATACATCATTTCCTCACTGATTTGTAATGTTACCTTTCCCTTTTCATTTTTTTTTAGTGAGGACTTGTGAATAAGCCTGAAAAGACTATTTTCCCTTTTACTTTTAATCAGAGTACTTAGATCTTTTACATTTAATGGAATTATTTAGATTTAAACCTACCATCTTACTTGCCTTTTCTGTTTGTCTCCTGTGATTTTGTTCCTTTTATTTTCGTTTTCTACTTGAATTTGGATTAATTGAACTTGTTTACAATTCCATCTTATCTCCACTATTCCTCATTGGTTACATACTCCCTATTTTTAGTGTTTGCTTTAGTATTTACAATATTCATCTCTAGTTTATTCCTGAATACCTTCAAATAATTTTATACTACCACACATACAGTATAAGAATCTTTCAAGAATATAATTCTAATATCTCTTATCTGCTGTGCTATTGTGTATTTCACTTCTTCACATACCATAAATCTCATAATATATTGTTACAATTTTTGTAATAGACTGTAATTTATCTTTTAGAGTGATTTAATAAGAATAAAAGTCTTTTATATTTACCTCCATTTATTTCTATTTGTGGACCTCTTCATTTTTTTATGTTTCTGTCTGGTTATATACTTCATCTGCCTGAAGAATGTCCTTTATGTGTACAGGTCTGTTGGCAACGAATTCATTCCACTTTTTTCTTTTGCTTTCTTTCTTCTTCTTTTTTTTTTAAAGACAGAGTCTCATTATGGCACCCTTGGTAGAGTGCCATGGCATCACAGCTCCTAGCAACCTCAAACCCTTGGGCTTAAGTGATTCTCTTTCCTCAGCCTCCCAAGTAGCCTCCCAAGTCACCTCCCAGGTGACTACAGGCACCTGCTGCAATGCCCGGCTATTTTTGTTTGATTGTTTGATTGTAGTTGTCATTGTTTGGCGGGCCTGGGCTGGGTTCGAACCTGCCAGCTCTGGTACAGGTGGCTGGCTCCCTAGCCACTGAGCCCACTTTTTTCTTTTTCTAGTGTAAAAAATCTTTTTTCTTTTTTATTTATTTTTTGAAACAAGTCTCACTTGGTACCATGGCATCACCATAGCTCATAGCAACCTCAATCTCTTGTGCTCAGCAATCCTCTTGCCTCAGCCTCCCCAGCAGCTGGAACTACAGGTACCAGCCACAGTGCCCGGCTAGTTCTTCTATTTTTAGTAGAGATGGTAGTCTTGCATTTGCTTGGACTGTTCTCGAATTCCTAAGCTCAAGCAATCCACCCACCTTGGCCTGACAGAGTGCTAGGATTATAGGTGTGAGCCACCTATGCCCAGCCTAAAAAAGTCTTTTTTAAAATTGATTCATAATAGTACATATTTTGGGAATAAATATGATATTTTGTTATATATATGCAGTGTATAATGATCAAATCAGAGTAACTGGGGTATTAATCATCTCAAATAATTATCTTTTCTTTGGTTGAGAGCATTCCAGTTCTTCTCTTCTACCTATTTTGAACTATTCAATAGATTATTGTTAACTACAGTTACCTTACTGTACTATTGAATGCCGGATTTTTTTCTTCTAACTGTATTTTTGTACCCATTGACCAACTTTGAAAAAAATCTTTATTTTACCTTTATTTCTTTTTTTTTTATTTCAGGTTATTGTAAGGATACAAACAACCAGGTCACAATTTTTGAATTTGTTAGATAAAGTCCCACTTGTTGTGTCTCCCACACCCAAAAGGTGTTCTAAATATACTTGTGCCCTTTAAAGTGGGAACACACCAACCCCTCCTCCTTTGAGCCCCCTTCCACCAACTTGAATATAATTAAATTTTTCTCCTATGTGGGCATGTGTTAGATCATTTACTGGCTTCATAATAAAATTGAGTACATTGGATACTTGTTTTTCCATTCTTGTGATACTTTACTAAGAAGAATGTGTTTCAACTCCATCCAGATTAATACAAAAGATGTAAAGTCACCATCTTGCCTTACAGCTGAATAGTGTACCATGGAACAAGTATACTACTCCTTGTTATATCCCATATATATCTAGGCAAAAGACATGAATAGAACCTTCTCTAAAGAAGACAGATGAATGGTTAACAAACACGAACAAATGCTTATCATACCTACTCATCAGAGAAATGAAAATCAAAACTTACCCTGAGATAATCACCCAACTCAGGTGAGAATGGGTCACATCGCAAAGTCTCAAAGCTGCAGATGCTGATATGGATGTGGAGAGACTGTACACTGCTTCTAGGACTGCAAACTAATACAACCTTTTTGGGAGGAAGTGTGGAGAATCCGCAAAGAACTTAAATTAGACCTCCCATTTGATCCTGCGATCCCATTACTAGGCATCTACTCAGAAGAAAAAAAATCCTTTAATCATAAGGACATTTGTGCTAGACTGTTTATTACAGTTCAATTTACAATCACCAAAATGTGGAAACAACCTAAATGCCCACCAACCCAGGCTGTGGTATATGTATATCATGGAATACTATTCAGACATTTAAAAAGATGGAGACTTTACATCTTCTGTATTAACCTGGATGGAGGTGGAACACATTCTTCTTAGTAAAGCATCACAAGAATGGAAAAGCAAGAATCCAATGTACTCTATTCCAGTATGAAGGCGGTAGATGAGCTAATATAAGGGGAAGGGGGAGGGGAAGGAATAAGTGTGGAAAGGGAAGGAGGGAAGGGAATGGGGGTCACAGTGTATGGCACACCTCTTGGGGTGGGACACAATTATAAGAGGGACTTTGCAATCAGTGTAACCTAATTCTTTGTACCTTCAATGAATCCCAAACAATAAAAAATAAAATAAAATAAAATAAAATGCAGCACTGTGCAAGACAAAACAAGAAAAAAGTAAAACTGAAAAAATAAGAATACAACCAAACTAAAAAAAAAAAAAAACTAAACAAACAATAACAAAAAAGAGAAGAAAAGAAAAGAAAAACTAAGGAAAAATTTAAAAAAAAAGCAAAAAATGTAAAACAGTGTGTCTGCATGTGTATTGCAAAATACTGCCTGGACACCAGGTGGTGGTGTGGTGCTAGGAGACAGAACACATGCTGGGTTTACTGTATTTGATGGAGGTCAGAATCCACTCTTACTGCAAAGGAGATCGGATCTTGTCTTCCTAACTTCTTTGCCCTCACTCTGGGCCTATTCATTTCATCAGCATTCAATCTCCATAGTGCTGGGGTCCCAAAGCTCTCACCAGATTCCCAGCAGGCCCATCAGACAGTGTGCCCCTGACAACAAAGCAGGCCTCTTGGGGGATGTTAGGCCCACTCAGCTCACCCTGAGGATGGCTCCTCAAGCTCAATAGGTACACCAGAGCTAGCTGTGCACTAAGACCCTGGCAGACTGTTCCTCCTGCATATGTGATCTTCCCACAATGGCGTCACCCTGCTAGCAACAAACATGATGTGAGAACTACCCCACCAGACATTGAACCCCTCCGTTGGACATTCTAGTCTAACACTGTTCCAGTGAGCAGCCTAGTCCAAAATCAAAATACTGCTGGGCAGCCTTTCCCCATCTCCAGCCCTCTGTGGGAGAGCCAGCCAGCCTCTGCCTATACCAAGCACCTTCTTCTGCATCAGATTTCCTTAGCCACAGACCTCCTTATTGGCTCCTGAAGTCTCCTGCTGCTTCACTTTGCCCCCAGAGTGATGTTTCTTTGCAGATTCCCCTAGCCAGAGGTGGCTGACATTCCCTTTTCCCTGTTTTACCATGAGTAGTCAGCAAGGAGCTGTCTCTAGTCTGCCATCTTGCTCTGCCCCCTCTCATCTTCATTTTGAATGATATTTTTTGCTGGGTTTAAAATCCTGGGTTAATGGTTATTTTTACTTTTTTTTTCTTTTAAGATGAAGAAGCTGTTGCTCTGGCTTGCTTAATCTGATGAGAATCTACTCTGAGCTTATTTTAGTTTCTCTTATATAATGTATCTTTTTTCCCCCTCTGGCAACCTTCACATTTTTCAATCTTTTGTTTTCAGCAGTTTGAGGTATGCAGCTACATACATGTATGTGTGTGTGCCTTTTCATCTTAGTATGCATCCTGACTGGGGTTCTCTAAACTGAAATCTACCTTATTTTCTCCATCTTCTCTTTTTGAGATTCTAGTGCCAGTCTTCAAGTCTGTTTGATATTGTCTCATAGCTATCTGATGCCCCAGTCTGCTTTTGCCTTCTTTTCTTTTTTTGTTTTTTAGGGTTTTTTGTTTTTTTTGGTTTTTTTGGCCAGGTCTGGGTCTGAACCCACCACCTCTGGCATATGGAGCCGGCACCCTACTCCTTGAGCCACAGGCACCACCTTGTTTTTTTAGTTTTTTTAATGCCTATCACTGTTTACTGATACATATATTTTATATGTTTATGGAGCTACATATGATATTTTGTTAAATGCATAGAATGTGTATTGATCAAGTCAAGGTATTTGGAGTATCCATCACATTGAGTATTTATCATTTGTGTGTGTTAAGAACTTTTCAAGTCTTCTCTTCTAGCTACTTTGAGATATACAATACATTGTTGTTAACTATAGTCACCTTACACTACTGTTGAAATTAGAACTTAAAAATATGGAATGCATCATGAATTTGTGTGTCATCTTTGCCCAGGGGCCATGTTAATCTTTTCTGTATCATACCAATTTTAGTACACATGCTACCAAAGCAAGCACCATTCTGCTTTTCGTCACTCTTTTTTCTTTTTGAGCATCAGCCTGAGTAATTTTGCTTAACCATCTTAATAACTATATTGAATGATTCTCTCCTCAATTGTGTTGTCTATCCATAGCCTAGAAAGAAATTCTTTAGATTTGACATATTTTTTTATTTCTAGTATTTCCATTTAACTTTTTTGTATAGTTTCCATCTTTCTGCTGAAGATCATCTCTTCAGGCACGTTGTCCACATTTTCTACTAATTTTTTAAATAATTTCATTATAGTTATTTTTAAAATTTACATTTCTAACACTTGTGTCATCTATGGGTGTGTTCCTGTTAGTTTCATTGTCTCTTGAGAATGTTTGGTGTTTTTCTTGCTTATTAAGATATCTCATAATATTTGACTGCTGAATATTATGGGTCTAACAACAGATATGAACTAAATAGTATTTATTCTTTGAAAAAGCATGCTTCTTTTTCTGTCATGTCATTTGTACAGAGGTTTGAGTCAATCCAACGATGAGTAGAGCTGGGTTTGGGTTTTGTTGTTGCTATGCTAAAGTTCGGGAGACCAGACATTTCAAATTCATCTAGCTGTGGGTCCAAGCTTAGAACAGGGGCTGTGGATCTAGAGTGTTTTTCTCAGTGTAGAGTTTTACCTTCAGCTTTCAACCATTCCTGAATGCTCATGCCACAGAGAATGTCTTTCTCTACATTTTTATTCTTCAGTTGAAGGTAGTTTGCCCCACCTTCCCATGATAGACAGATTCTGCCTTCTAGCTACAGTTGATCTTGAGCTAACATTTCCTGATACTCCCCTGGGAGTAGCAGATCTCTACTTAGTAATGGTAGGTAAAGTTTTAATGTTTTGGCCAAGACATTTTTCTGCCTTTACCTTAGGGGTTGAGGTCTTCTTTTGTCCTTCTCTCAGCTGCAATGTGTGTTCTGCCTTTATTTCTCCCAGGATTCCCAGGAGTATTACTTTTCAAAAATATTTTAATTCCAGCTTGGAGTTTCTTCAGTCATGTAGAGAGTATAAATTTATAGCCTAAACCTATGTAAGCTACATATTCTCAGGGGACACTTTTTTCTCAGCCAGAGATAAGACATAATTCAAAACATTTTTTTTTTTTGTCTTTATGCATAGGGTTGGAACTTTTCTATCCATGATTTAAGTAAGCCTTTTGTGGGCTTCACCTTAAGGCAAGGTTGTCAATTCCAGCCTTCTGCCACATATAGACCCCCAGTGAGGCCTTAGGTTATCGGATACACACTCTCCCCAAGTCTCACTGTCAGTTCAGCTCACACAATTGTTCAGGATTTCAGTTTTGTCTGTTTCTGGTACCTATATTTTTCCGTATGTATATGTTATATATGTCTGTCTCTTTTAAATGCATACCTCAATTCACTATCCACTTAAAAAATTGTCCTCTTCTACCCATCAGTAGTTGGTAGAAGAAGGACTTTTAGGTTAGATAGCCTGTCATGCTGCTGGGACAGTAGTTTACTATTAATGAATCATTGTGCTTGCTCTTCATAATTTCTATTAAGTTTGGCAATTTTTAAGAGTTGTATGCAAAAATAATTTTGTCATTTGCAGAATGCCTTTGCTCTGTTTGCTGTTGTAGGAAAATTAGATTTTTATCTCAAGTCTGAACCTTTTTGTGGTTTAGGTAGGATTTCAGCACAATTTGAGCTAAGAAAGAAAACCAACAGTCAGCTAGTTTTATCTTTTGGGAAAGAAATAAAATATAATAACAGTTATCTGGGAGTAGATTAAAGGGCTTATTCTTAGGCAAAAGGAGATTTTGGCTCTACAAGCAGTAGGATAGAAAGGGGATATCTGAGAAAGCTGAACTGACATAGGACAAAAACTCTCCTTTGCTATTTGTTTTTTTGTTTGGAGGTTTGTTTTTTTTGAGACAGAATCTCACTATGTCTCCTTTGGTAGAATGCTGTGGCATCACAGCTCATAGCAACCTCCAACTCCTGAGCTTGAGAGACTCTCTTGCCTCAGCCTCCCAAGTAGCTGGGACTACAGGCGCCTACCACAACGCCCAGCTATTTTTTTTGTTGCAGTTGTCATTGTTGTTTTTTTAGCTGGCCTGGGCTGGGTTCAAACTTGCCAACCTTGGTGTGTGTGGCTGGTGCCGTAACCACTATACTATGGGCGCCAAGCCTGCTGGGTTTTTTTTTAAAGAAAATTTAATGTATTCTACTGAATACAAAAGAAACCTAGGACAGTCAGCATCATCCCTGAAGAAGGGGGAAAGCACATCATGTTTTAAATTTCTGAACTGTGAATTATATATTCTTGTACCCTAAGTCTTTACTATATTAATTAGAAAAAAATCCTAAATAGATCTCAAATAAATACCACATTTGACTCCTAGTTTGTGGTTCTGCCCATAAACTAAGGAAATCCTTTATAGCTGTGGTCCCCAACCTTCAGGCCATGGACCAGTACCAGTCCATGGCCTTTTATGAACCATGCTGCAAGCAGGAGGTGAGTGGTAGATGAGCAAGCAAAGCTTCATCTACATTTATAGCTGCTCTCCAGTGTTCTCATCACCACCTGAGCTCTGCTTCCTGTCAGATCTGCAGAAGCATTAGATTCTCACAGGATCACGAGCTCTCCTGTAAACCGTGCATGTGAGGGATCTAGGCTGTATGCTCCATAGGATAGAGGTTCTCATGTTTTAAATTTGCATCAAATATTTTATAGTATTGTTTTTCATGCTATGTTAGCAAGTCGTATGTATTAAAGTTACCGTGAAGATAATGTGCCATATTGGAAAGAGCAGAGAGCTCACAGGTTCACAGGTTTTACTTCTCCTAACATTGAACTAATTGTGGAACATTGGAACCTTGGGTAGAGTTCTCCCTGAGATTGAATTTCTTCTTTATGTGAAAAAAAAAAAGAAAATAAAACTTTAACTTTTTTCTCACAGGATTTTTATGAATATTAATCCTGATAATGTATGTGAAATATTTTGTATTTTTGCAGTTGATAGTGATGTTTAATATTTATATTATATAACTTTAAAGAAGCCTCACCATTTATGTATTCCTCAGAATTTCTCTTATTCTATTTTAGGCCTTTAATGATTGACCCCCAGGGTCAAGCCAATAAGTGGATCAAAAACTCTGAGAAAGAAAATCAGCTTAGTGTTATTAAGCTATCAGATTCAGACTACATGAGAACATTGGAAAACTGTATTCAGTTTGGAAATCCACTTCTATTAGAAAATGTTGGTGAAGAACTGGATCCATCTTTGGAGCCTTTACTACTTAGACAAACTTTTAAACAAGGTATAGGCAATTAATATTAGTTGGTGGAACTGAAAGATGATTGGATTATCTTTGAAGCATGAAAGAAAACCTCTATGTAAATTTAATAATGTTAATAACTCACAACTTCTCAGTACTTGTTATGAATGAAAGGAAATTTGGAGTAAGCTATCAGGAATAAACCTTGGTCAAATATTTTAGGATAAATACCTTGTTCTCTATTCATTGCCTCAAGCCAGTGTTTTTCAACCTTACTTATCTCATGGCACACTTGAACCTGTAGTTATACTTCTGTAGCACCCTTAAATTATGTTGATCAAAAACAAGTTAAAAGAAGAATATACTTACTGTGCTTTGAAGTTATCTCAAAAATAATTTAATTATCTTAAAAAAATTTCATGACACATAAGAACCTCTCACAGCACACCAGTTGAAAATCACTGCCTTACCCAGTGCTCTATTATCTAGACTGTTGTTCTTAGACAACATAAAGAAGTTAAAGACAGCCTGACTTTCCTTTATCTTGTGACCATTGACCACCCAAAGTCCATTATTATGAAGAGTGATGATGAATATGGGTCAGAGTTTGAGTTTAGGTAAACATTATCTACCTTAGATATTTTTGCTTATAGCAATTTTGTCTCTGTCAGGTACTGGTACTATTAAGAGCTTTGGACACAGCTCGGTGCCTGTGGCTCAAGTGGCTAAGGCGCCAGCCACATACACCTAAGGTGACAGGTTCGAATCCAGCCTGGACCCACCAAACAAC